ACAACAACAGAGGGGACTCTCATGAACACACATACGATGACAGCAGATTTTACAAGCAGCCCATGCAGCACTAATACAACTGTTTCCATTCTCATGTTTGGATCACTGTTGTTTCCATTCCAACACATACTTAAATAACTAGCTCTATTACAAAAGAATTTCTTCTTTTTGGCGTAGCATCACAATTGAACATGGTATAAATGACATTCAGATTTGTCCTCTAGTAATGTCCTGTCTCCATCTGCTCCCCTACGCTGTAATTCTAGACTCCCATAGCTGAGAAATTGGTAGCTTCTCACTAAAGGGTGAGGGTCAATATTTTGAGGGTGGGGTGGGGACGTGGGCTATAGAGCTTCATAATGGATAAGTTACTCAGTTCAAGGCAACAGAGGCTGCTGCTTCAAAGAAATGACCTTCCAGACAGGCTGCTCCCTCCGCAGGCATCTTTTCCTTTGTCAGTTACTCTAACTACTGGAAGAGACAACATATACCCTGTTACTGAGCTTCTAAGTGGGTTAAATTAATCATGCAACTCATAGTTTACATGGTAAACTGAGCTAATTGCTAAGCTGAATGCATGTGGAGTTTGAGTCAGTTTGTCAAAACCTATTTATTTAAATCTTTAAATCATATTTTTTCCACGTCAGTTTGGTTGATTCTTAAGAGTTTTGCAGGAAAGCAAAAACACTGATTGTTTTATGCATTAATAACCAATTTACAGACAAAGACTCTTTCTGAAAACTGATTTTGGAAATATGATAATTTAGCCATTTAGTGAGATTCTTCAAACACCTATCAAAAACACATGAAGCTGCACTTGCCTCTAAGCAAGTCAAAATCAACTGCAAGGTGCAGCCCCAACTGTCTGACATCAAGCAGCTCAGTGTTTCAGATCACCCTACCTGGTGAAGCAATATTGTTTTTACATTGCACTGTAAAGCACTGATGTTATAAAACAGCAACCCAAATACAGGACGTCTAAGTCAATCCACAGGCCGACTTCTTAAAATAGAAAACGTATGCAGATCAGTCTAATGTTTCATTTTAAATCACAAAGAACATGAAGCATCTTCAGACACAGATAATACAGAAGGAAGGGGGGCTGGCAGACACAGCATTAGACAGTCTCTTTATTAATAAATAAAACAGAAGACCTTCTGCAAACTGTGTGAACCTCATGCAATAGTGG